AACAGAAACGGGCGAGCCATTGCTGTTGGTGTGTTTGTAATGAGGGTTTTCGTACAAGTAAGTGCCAGATTAAATTGGAATACTAGTGAACAGTGATTTCACATCAAAAGATACTAGTATATAGTTGTCCGGTATTTGTATAGTGCACAGTTTTTTAATGAAAGTTTAAGTGGATTGTAGCTTGTGTTTTGATTTGTTTGTAAGTGGTTGCAGTATGTTAGTCAAGTACTTTCAAAGTTCGTAAGTAGGCGAACCACAGAATGATACAATTGGTCGCATGGGTATTTGTGGTTTGTAAAGTTTTGGTAGTCCGTATAGTCTGGGTGGTGGTGGTACTGAACATCTGAGTCGATAGTATATACGTTCAGATATAATGTTAGATTTTCTCATAGAGAAGATCTTGCTGTTAAGTTTGCGCACTAGTGATGGTGTTGGGTCTCGTTTGAGTTGTTCGTACGTTTGTCAAATCCAACAGCAGACGACTGATACGAGCACGGATTAACGACTGTCAACGACGAATCAAATATTACATCAAACAACAAGAACAAAGACTGAACAAACTGAATTACAAATAAAAACATCACACCTAAATCACACATAACAACTAAAAATGAAATATTTCACTTCACACTAATTCACAATGACAATACACATTTCCTCTACACACAATACAATGACGTAAGAACCCGAAAACAAATACGGCTAACTTGACGTTTACTCCTCATTTGACTCTGAAGATGACTACCGCTAAGGTTGTCGAAACGTCAGTCAACAACAAAAAAAACAGTCCTTCTCAGGACTTTATTAACCTGGACCAGGGGCGGATCTAGGATTTTTCAAACATCAGTCATAAAATGTCGGAGGCGCTCCGCACCTGGGGGGGTCTGAGGCTATCTCTCCTGAGAAATTTTGAATTTCAGAGCCTTAAAAATGCCATTTTCAGCGTTTTAGAGCATTACAAAATGTATTTTGTGGGCATCGTTTTTGCGTAAGAACAACACATTTTGCTTAAGTTTTTTTCAAAAAGAATGAAGTGAACAATACTTGAATGTTTTGCCAAATATTTAGGCTCAATATTATGCCAAATATATGGCTCATTAGCATGTCTAGGAACGTAAAATTTATTTTACAATAATGCTATATTCAAAAACAGATATAGCCTTTAAAAATTTCTACCAAGTTGTCAGGCATAGACCCCCCTAGAGACCCCCATTCAAACCTCTATGTAATGAGTTAAGTTAGAAATTTGGTACTACAAGTGACAGTTCATAGATATAGAAAAGCTCTGACTTCAAACCATGCAACTTTATTGTAACCCTTTACCCATCTCCACATCAGTATTAGCAAATTCACCTTTTGAGAAAAAACTCAAAATTTTTTTCTGCCAAAGATTAAGCAAAAATTATCAGAGTGAAAATTTGCAGTTAAGGACAGCTTAATGCCATAAATGTTTATTAGGCATTTCACCATACTATTATCTTCTTCAAGGTGTGCTATATAGCAATCACTAGTAGCATTGTATTTGCAAATACAAACAGAATGTAACCAACATGTCTTTAATTATATAATTACATGAATGTTAAAATTGGTTCATGCGTCATGCTTACTGGTTATGATAGATATCTTTAATATGATCAAAGCTCGTTTAAATGTAAATCTGAAATAATTTAGTTTAGAAATTATAATGATCATCAGAAAAATTACTTAGTGATCATGAAAAATACTTTGCTGTTTTGCCAAATTTCAAGGTTTATCTGCATACATAGGAAGACATTTTTACTTTATAGAAAATGCTTTTCATACATCAATAGCCCTTTGGAATTTATGGCAAACAATCTGGTATGAGCCGTAGATTAACACAACTTTACATCTCTACATGAGGTGTTCAGTTAGAAAAGGGGACAATATGTGACATGGGACAACATTTCATGTATGTGAAATACTAAGGTTTAATACCATTCCAGTCAAATTGTCAAAATAAAAAGCTTCATGGATCAGAAGACTCAAAATCACAGGTTATAGTAAACAGCTTCTCATGTAATCAATGTTAGTTTTCTCAAATCTTAAACAATATGTAGTATAACTGTCTAATGATTGAATGATCAATGATCATAAACTGAAAAGCCCCAAACATTTGTTTATGATAAAGTAAATAATAGTATGGTGCCTTATGGCTACAGATTTTTTGTCCATTGAAATATATTTGCAGGAATGTAGGATATCCCTGCCATATAACGGTCACCATTCCCCAAGCACTAAAGAAATCATAGCTAAAAGTCCTCCGGCAACAACAATTTTAGAAGCATCTATCTGCTTACCATACGCCGTATTAACATAAATCGCATCACACACTCGCATAAATTGACTTTGATATATTACATTCATGCATACACTTCAGTTGTCCTTTACTTACGATTTTGGATGTAAATTTCTGCTGATAGAACTCAAAACAATGTTGGCTTGCTTTTGAACATCAACGACTGAAATGTCGCTCGCGAGATCGTCTTTGCCAAGCATTTACAATTCATCCATAAATTTTTCGCCCTCTTGAAAAAATTCCCAGTTTGGAAAGCAGCATTCATGTCAATATATGAATTTGTAAAAGATTTCCATAAATTCCATCTGATTGTAGTGTAGTTTCTATCATGCTTTAGAAAATTATTATGAAACGATCAAACATTCAATTCAGACAGTGAGCTTGACTATGTTAGTTCAGTTGGCTATCAGTCGAAATAGGTCGAACCAATCACAGTAAGACAAAATTTAAACGAACCAATTACACGATAAAGTGGACTCCTTATAGGTCGGCCACGCTTATCGGTCGAGATTATTCCAGATCGTCCACTGATCTGGCTATTGACCAATGAAATAAGCGTTTTTGGCGTTCATAGACTCCTTTATCCGTCGAACCAGTCAAGCCACCCCGCTTATCAGTCGGTTATTCCAAGTCAATTAAAATTCAACTGATCTGGTTACCAAGGAGATATTTATTGGATTAGTCATTAGTTTTCAATAATAAATAAAGCTGGATTTTTATCACGAAGTAAATGCGATAATAAAGTAATAATAAGAAATGAATTTTTAACTAATATGAATGGGTAATTTTTGAGTTTCAAACATCAGTCGCGCGACGTATTTGACATACTCTAGATCCGCCCCTGACCTGGACGATCATCATTTACAAACATGTTACTTTCTAAGGTAATTATCTCTATACATCACATTTCACAATTTCAACGTATTACTTCCATCTCCTCTCTCAGGAGGCGGAAAATAAGGACAAAAAAGACAAATTAATGGTTTCGACCCCCACCTAAACATTTTCAGAGAAAATTTAGGACTTACATTTTCATAAGTTGCAATCTTCATACAGGTTAGTGTTCTTTCGTTTTCACCGAATGTATGAAAGCAAAGTTTCTGCACATACGTTTTTATTTTTCTATCATAAATTTTGGCGTACTACGTATGTTTGTGTCTTATTAACATAATGTCAAATCTAAGTTGTTTGGGCCCATTTCTTGTGTAATATGTATAAATGTACATCATTAGATTATACTTTTGAACAATTTTTCTGAAAATAATAATGATTTTCTACAATTCGTTTTTAAAAATATTACATTGTCATTTAATGCAAAAACGTTCTCTCAAATTTATTCAGTTTCTACAAAAAAAAAATCTGCACAGAAATGTCTCTTTTGTTACGTTGCTTTTGAGTCAGATTGTGTGACAGGCAATATTTAATACTGATTGCAAAAAACTATAAACACCTCTTAAAAAAATTCTTTTTAATGTTTAAATTATTCAACAGCTTAATTCCATTGACGTAATTATATTAGCGTGCTTTAGATTTGCATTGAAATTCTCACGAAGACACGCATATAATATTGCAGTTAAGTTGTTCATTCTCTTCTTTGAGTTACGCAACGTCAACAAGAGTGGTGACTTTTTAGGTTTGAGAAGCCAGCTAGAGAAATCATAGGACGTAGATGTGGCTATAACACGCCTTTTTAGAGATTGTACTTTATTCATCATGTTTCCAATAAATTTTGCTTCGTCAGGTATCAATGAGCCCAATTTATTCATCTTTTATGCTTTAACATATATCCAAAAATACTTTAGAAAATTCTCTATGCATGATACCTTATAATGTTTTTCTTGCATTTACGCAGCATAATAGAAACGCTTTACCTGCTGCTTTAATATTTAAATTTTAAAAATTGTTTGTGTGGGAGAATAAATTAGTTTTTTCTTCTATTTCCAATTGACTATATTTACAATTTATGGATCTCTGCAAAGTAAGAAACTTCATTATAATTTTGCTATTGTTCAACCGAATAGTTTTTCATATATTACAGAGTTAAACTTTCACTAGTTGACAGAGGTGATTTTAATAAAATATGTTGTCATGTAGCAATGTTAACTATTTGTTACAAAGAATTCGTTGCTAATGTCCTTTTCTGTGGACATTTAAATGTCACTCAATCTATTGACTTTTCTTCAAACCATGCAATCACAGGTCAGATGCAGAAAAATAACTGAACAATAAACCCACGAAGAAATCTATTTGAAAAATAAGGCCAAAACTCCTTTGTTAACGATTGACTGTTTTTTTGCTTTCGCGTTCATACTTTGCCAGCAAAGTAAGAGATACTTCAAAGAGTGACTTACTACGAAAACCAACTTATGCAACTATCTTTATCAAGCATATATTAACATGCCAACAAACAGACTAATCAAAGTGCTTATTCAACACGACAATATCATAGAGCATCACACGTCATTTAAAAACAGATGGATTTAATTAAATACTTTGTAATGCAGGTCACCACGTGGTTTATAGTGCTGCTATGGAAATAATTCTTCCGCGAATACCTTAATGAACATTTGAAGAATACATTACCACCGACTTTCTCTTCTACCTCCCGAAACAGCTTAAGACAACAAATAAAGTTGATGTTCTACGGAATATCTTATCTTGTATTCAATATAGATTCACTGGAGGATGTTATCGATTTTGACAAACTTTGAATAATTTATGGCTCGGAAAAGAAAATTCAAAAATGTCCCAGTATACGACATAGCAAGCTTTCCTAGCGTTGATAGATCTTTAAGCCAGCTATTAGTCCATCCACTAACTGGGTGTGACACAGTGTCTTATTTTGGAGGGTGCTACAAAAGAAAACTGCATTGGATGCCAGGAAATTAATTCATTCTCAACGGACTATAGAACCAAACAATTACATCGTCAGAAGAAAACATCACAAAGCAATCTATGGACGTTATTGAGAGGTGTGTGTTGCTGTTGTTTCATCGAAAGAAAAGGAAACTGATACAAACTGATTAAATATGCATGCAAAGGAAAAGCCATTGCAAGTAATTTAAAGGCAATCTGTATTTAAACTGCGCTTTGTAATATGACTTTTATCTATTGCATTTTTACGACAGCTGTACGACCAATTTCCTATGAAAAATCAGTTTCCTCGTATTCACAATTTATTGATTGGAACTTTACTGAACTGATTAGCAAATAGTTCATGTTAAATCGATGCAGACAAATGAACCTGTAAAACTGTCTGAATGTTCTGTTTTAAGAGCATGATACACTATTCAAGTTGAGAAAGCTAGATGTCAACAAAGTACAATATTTCTGGCAATAAACGCAGGAATTGATCAAGTGACCATTTTACACAAACTGTTATCGGTGGATAACTTCGCGAGTTTTTATTGAATTCACTCAAATACATGCTTAAAATAATCGCTGTATGTTCCTTTTTCAAATAAACTTTGATTGGATAAATTTCGATACAATACAATGGCAAGAACTGCGAAAAACCTTATTTTTGTAATACAATCTACATATCTTTTGCCCTGTTGACGCCGCCATATTGGATAATCATGATGGCCCAACGCGCACACATATAATATGTACGTACCTATGACTACTACATCTATGGTAAAAATAGATATTTTGATATGGCGCAAATCTCAAATTTAAACACGGTAAACAACTACAGACTTGTATTGTCATGTTATATCGCAAGCTAAGCAAAGAAGATAAAAAATTGAAAATGCCTTGTATATTTTAAATAGTCTTAGGCAACGTATTTTAAAAATCTCTGTTGTAAAAGCACTTCTACTTTGTTTTGAAAAAATGCAGCAACCCTTATTTAACGTTGATTGTTATTCTTTCAATAATATTACACGACGCCTTTCCTTTATTGCGTTCCACACTTTGTTGTGAGCAAAACGCGAGCGCCAAATTGTATTCGACATATGCAAAATAGTAACCAGGCAAAAACCAGGCAAAACTCGCATAAATGAGTATTTTCCACCCTCCCCCCAATCATCGACGTTCAGGCGTCCCTTACGATTCCTTTATTGTAAATGTTTCATTTTAGAAAGATTATGAGGTGTAATTTCTTAGGCCGAAATTTCTTTTTGGTAATTCCAAATAAGACATGAATTTCTTTACAATCTGACTGCTTAATTCTTAAAGGCGTGGTAAAATGTAAATATTTAAATGCCAAAATTTAACCCAAATAGCCCTGGGTACATGCTTTACAGTGCTTAAAAAGAATTTCGTCAAACTATTGATTTTTTTCATGGTGCTATAGTAAATATTGTAAAAGCAGGCAATTTATGTGCCTCCAAGCGATAAGTGTGCAGAACAAACAGAAATTTACGTTTTATCCAAGATAACGTCTTCATAGATAGTTATCGAAACATAAACTGGCATGATATGAGCAAAAAAGTAAGCTACACTGTTTACTTTTAGACGCTCGTTTATAAAGCATCAATTAATATTTTCAACCACGATACCATAGGAAGGCAGACCTGCCAGTTCCCCGATTATATAGACTGTCATCTAAATCTTAAAGCAAATCTTCAGATAACCAGATATTCAATCACTTTTCCTGTTTTGAAATTTTTGATATAACATGTATTTAAAGTAAATGGTTTGAACCCGGGAGTATCGTTACATGTTTGTAAATGTCGATCGTCCAGATTGGTATAGTCCTGAGACGGACTGTTTTTGTTGTTGTTGACTGACGTTTCGACAACCTTAGCGGTAGACATCTTCAGAGTCAAATGAGGAGTAAACGTCAGGTTAGCCGTATTTGTTATCTGGTTCTTACGTTAATGGTTGATTCCTTGCAGCGGTGGTTGAACCAGAGTTGCTGGCGTATGCGTCAGACGTTACTTGCAAAACGTATGTAGTTGTTAGCAAGTTGCTCGCTCTGTCGTCCAAATGATCGTAATAAAGTAAATGGTTTGAGCCCCGGAGTATCGTTACATGTTTGTAAATGTCGATCGTCCAGGTTAGTATAGTTCTGAGAAGGACTGTTTTTGTTGTTGTTGACTGACGTTTCGACAACCTTAGCGGTAGTCATCTTCAGAGTCAAATGAAGAGTAAACCTGATTTTTTCACAATTATTTTACTAACTACATGTCATTAAAGAAGGTTGAAAGTGATCGAAAGTCTGGTGCTCTGAAGATTTGACTGAAGATTAAAGTGACACCAATAAAAACGGGCGGGTTAGTAGGTGTTCCTGTGGTATAAAACAAGACCTTAAAATGTTGAGTCAGCATCATGATAAAAAACATTCGTTGATGCTTCATAAACGAGTGACTGAAAATAAATGGTCTTGTATACTGTTTTACTCATTTCATACTGATCTGTCTAATGATACTAAGAATTTTTCAAAGCTGCTGAACTTAACAATTAGTATCTTAATCCACAACTAAAAAACTATGATTCTGACAGAGGTTATATTTTTACTAAAGGGAGAAAAAGGGGACGGTCAATCTACAGAAAAAAATATTACGTCAAACTTGAAGCAGAGCGCTTCGTCTGAAGGAAGTGGTCTTGACAATGGACTTACAAAGGTAAGCGAATTACTCGTGAATGAATCATACCGTAAGTTTACTTTAGATGGAACCGATGTATTTCTCTGTGTGGAGCTATATGTTTTGGACAGGACTCACTTCTAAACGATCAAATTCAAAACATGTGCTCTGATTAAGAAAACAAAAGTATTTTTCATGGAAAAGCGTATTTAGGCTTCATAAAAACCCATAGCAAAACATTTTGGAGGATGTGCATTTCATAAGTAATGAAGTTTGCTTGTCACTAAGTGTTTTTATATTGTTTTGCGTAAAGTCAGCGGAAGTTATGACGTTTATTTTGCTTTAAAAATGACATAACGTGAAAACTAAAATGTCAAAAAAAAGATAATTTTTGTGGTTGAGATGGAAAGCAGTCAGTTATGCGAGACTTTAAGCTCCAGTTATAAATGAACTAAATATTAATTTTCGGGATATTTACTGAACATAAATTTGAAAAAGTACTTTTAAATTGTCAACTGAAAAAATAGCTAATAGCTACATAGGAATAAATAATAAAAGATTATGAATTAAAAAGTCATTTGCCATGACAGTTAGACACTTTTGTCACATGTTCTCTTTAGACTTTGGGTTACAAAAGAGACATCCATAATAGCTTTTGAAAAATTTCAAAGGCCTCTTTTATTACTTTGAATATGTTTCTCAAATCATTTGCTCTTTCATACGTCGATGTATTTAGCTAGATCAATAAGTATACGCTTGCTTTATCAAGCACTTCATACAAGTGTTAATTCTTGCAGTGGAACTTAACATCTCTTTAAAAAATGATAAGCAACCAAAACATCAACCAATTAAATCCATTTTTTCTTCATTCATAAATTAGATGGCAATTAAATACCTAGAAATAAAGATTTTTATAAAAAATATCTCTTCGACAGTGCTTTTAACTGGTTTTTTTTGACCTCCTTGTTTTAACAAAGAAAGCAATGCGGTAGCTAATTTCGAATGTTTAGGGAAGGGGTAGTGAGGCATAATTTATGTATGAAAAGTTATCAAAACATAGATTGGCATGATATGAGCAAAAAAGTATGCTACACTGTTTATTTCAGTCGCTCGTTTATAAAGCATCAATTAATGTTTTTTTTTACCATGATACCATAGGAAGGCAGACCTGCCAGTTCGCCAATTCTGTCGACTGTCATCTATATCCTAAAGCAAATATTCAGTTAACCAGATATTCAATCACTTCTCCTGTTTGAATTTTTTGGTATCACCAGTGGCGTGCGGTGACCGAATTTAATAGGCAAGCGCTGGGGGTGAGGTTCGCGGCATGCCGCGAAGCTATCTAGGGGTTCTGGGGGCATGCTCCCCCAGAAAATTTTTGGATTTTGAAGGCTACTGGAGCGCATTTCCCGCGATTTCTGGGAGTACTTTGTCGAAAAAATGTATCTGTCATGACTGAAACAGTATTGAAAAAATCTAAAAAATTCAAAAACTTTTATAGAGTATATATCACAATTACGGTTTAAAAGTATTACATGTGGTATTGTGATATAAAGTCGTTTTAAGTAAATGGCTACGCGTGCAATTGCCCCTGTTGACAGACTCCTCCAGCTCCACCCGACCTCTGAAAGAAAGTTCCTGTTTGCCAAGAAAGCAAACAACATCAATGAAACGGCGAAGTACTTCTCTATTCTTGTGCACCATCAAGTTGTGAGCTGAGATGTGTTGACGGGCCTGTTCGTCTAGCTGCATGTCGATGCGTGTACGCCCAAAACTGGCATTCATTAGGCAACTGGACAAGTGTGTCTTCGTTTTCTCGTGTCTGTTGACGGCATTACACAGGTTGGCCAAATCATCGTATCCCTTCTTGCACCAGACTGTCTTGTCTGTTGAGTTGAACAAAAGGCACGGCCAGCAAAATAACTTATTCAATTTTGAGGAGCCAGCCAGCCATTTGTACTTGTCGTAATTTGACGTCTGAAAACTTCGAATAAAGACTTTACCACTTCGTTTGGATGTTGTATGTAGTCCTTGCAACTCAGGAGTGGGACGGCCACCTTCGACGATCTCTCGTTTCTCGGAAAAAGGTCTCAATCCAAATGAGCGGGATAACAGTGATTCCACAATGCATTCAGTCATGTTGTACAGGTGTCGTGAAAATATCGAATGTAGAAGTAGAACATAAAAGGATGAAAATTCCTATGCTATATATTTTATAGGAACATCAATCTTATTTATACCTTACATCAGTTACATGATATCTTGTAGTGACGTACATAACGTGCGTACATTACTCATCTAGATTCATGCAATAGAGGAAATAGCCAATCCTACACTTACTCAAACGCGCTACTTAAACTTACGCACTTAACTTTATAATTACGTAAAACTACTCAAATTTCAAGTACATTATCCGCTGTGTAATAACTGCACCTTGTTTATCAAAATATATAAAAAGCCTGTAAATAAATTCTAACATATAGAATACTCACGACTGTTGTAAATAACTTCTTTGCTAGTGAATAAAATAATCACAAAATTTAATAGCGTTCTAGTACATTGAAATCACGTTCAGAGCTCATACGCAAGACTTATATAACGCTAAAGTATAACATGCTACAGATAATATCTTCTACATACATAAATTAGAAATCTACTACTACTTTGAATTAGAAATCAGAACATTACCTTTCGCTCTCAGTCATCTTTTAATAAACGATAACATTAACGGCGTGAATAATTCGGATGTCCAATGTGTTGAATATACGAATATTATTCGTGCGCTGATATATGTTTAAAATTGCGAGCGTACAAGACTGTTGACCAATCGCTATCAAGCGGCGCCCTTAGAAGCGCCGCTTGCCTTTTCTCGATATTCCTCGAATAAGAAGCCTCCAAATCTAGATTAACGCATGCGCAAATGTTCAAATTGAGCTTCGAAGGCAAGCGCTTGCCTTGGTTAATAAATAATTAATTTAATCCACTCAATTTAATACACTTGACTCATCTTACAAGTGTAGCAAAGTGAAACCGAAAACCACGACAGTAAATCGCGTATAAATAGCAAGCATTTCAACTGTAAAGACAATTTAGACAAAAGATTACATTGACATTGTTTAGAACAGAAAAATTTAAACTGATTTTGCTCAGAGATTGATACAAAAAATTTTTGTTCGGTAAAATGCTTAGGCAAGCGGCGCTTTCCTACGCTTGCATGACCGCACGCCACTGTTGAGAAGCCAGTTAGAGAATCATAGGACGTAGATGTGGCTCTAACACGCCTTTTTAGAGATTGTACTTTATTTATCATGTTTCTAATAAATTTTGCTTCGTCAGGTATCAATGAACCCAATTTATTCATCTTTTATGCTTTAACATACATCCAAAAATACTTTACAAAATTCTCTATGCATGATGCCTTATAATATTTTTTTGCATTTACGCAGCATAATAGAAACGCTTTACCTGCTGCTTTAATATTTAAATTTTAAAAATTGTTTGTGTGGGAGAATAAATTAGTTTTTTCTTCTAGCAGCTGAAAAGCTGTTTTGTAAATTTCCAATTGACTATATTTACAATGTATGGATCTCTGCAAAGTAAGAAATTTCATTATGATTTTGCTATTGTTCAACCGAATAGTTTTTGATATATTACAGAGTTAAACTTTCACTAGTTGACAGAGGTCATTTTACTAAAATATGTTGTCACGTAGCAATGTAAACTATTTGTTACAAAGAATTCGTTGCTAATGTCTTTTTCTGTGGACATTTAAATGTCACTCAATCTATTGACTTCTTTTCAAACCATGCAATCACAGATCTGATGCAGAAAAATAACAGAACAACAAACACACTAAGAATCTATTTGAAAAATAAGGCCAAAACTCCTTTGTTAAAGATTGACTGTGTTTTTGGTTTCGCGTTCATACTTTGCCAGCAAAGTGAGAAATACTTCAAAGAGTGACTAACCACAAAAACCAACCTATGCAACTATCTTTATCGAGCAGCTATGAACGTGCCACAAAGCAGACTAATCAAAGTGATTGTTGAACACGACAATATCATAGAGCATGACACGTCATTTAAAAACAGTAGGATTTAATTTTATACTTTGTACTGCATGTCACAAGGTGGTTTATAGTGCTGCTATCGAAAAAATGCTTCCGCCAATACCTTTATGAATATTTAAAGAATAAATTACCCCCGACTTTCTCTTCTACTTCCCGAAACAGCTTGAGACGACAAATAAAGTTGATTTTCTACGGAATATCTTATCTTGCATTCAATATAGATTCACTGGAGAATGTTATCGATTTTTAAAAACTTTGAATAATTTATGGCTCGGAAAAGAAAATTTAAAAATGTCCCAGTATAAGACATAGCAAGCTTTCCTAGCGTTGATAGATCTTTAAGCCAGCTATTATTCCATCCATTAACTGAGTGTGACACAGTGTCTTATTTTTGAGGGTGCGACAAAAGAAAACTGCATTGGATGTCTGGAAATTAATTCATCCTCAACGGACTATTGAACCCAAGAATTACATCGTCAGAAGAAAACATCACAAAGCAATCCATGGACGTTATTGAGAGGTGTGTGTTGCTGTTGTTTCATCGAAAGAAAAGGAAACTGATACAAACTGATTAAATATGCATGCAAAGGAAAAGTCAGTGCAAGTACTTTAAAGGCAATCTGTATTTAAACTGCGCTTTGTAATATGACTTTTATCCATTGCATTTTTACGACAGCTGTACGACAAATTTCGTATGAAAAATTAGTTTCCTTGTATTCATAATTTATTGATTGGAACTTTACTGAACTGATTAGCAAATAGTTCATGTTAAATCGATGCAGGCAAATGATCCTGTAAAATTGTCTGAATGTTCTGTTTTAAGAGCATGATACACTACTCAAGTTGAAAAAGCTAGATGTCAACAAAGTACAATATTTCTGGCAATAAACGCAAGAATTGACCAAGTGACCATTTTACACAAACTGTTATCGGTGGATAACTTCGCGAGTTTTTATTGAATTCACTCAAATATATGCTTAAAATAATCGCTGTATGTTCCTTTTTCAAATAAACTTTGATTGGATAAATTTCGATACAATACAATGGCAAGAACTGCGAAAAACCTCATTTTTGTAATACAATCTACATATCTTTTGCCCTGTTGACGCCGTCATATTGAATAATCATGAGGGCCCAACGCGCACACATATAATATGTACGTACCTATGACTACTACATCTATGGTAAAAATAGATACTTTAATATGGCGCAAAGCTCAAATTTAAACACGGTAAACAGTTACTCATAACATTTTAGTAGGCTATATAGCCAGACAATATGTTCTGCTGACATAATAATAGCTTTTTTATCTTACTGATAAAAACGGGACCTTTTTCAAAGGCAGAAATAGTGAACTTCTGTTGAACTATACTTTCATTAGGCAAAAACAAAGATGTTGTTTAAAAAAGAATCGTCCCTTTCATTATTTGACAATCTTTTGTGTAGAGAAAAACATGTTTTAAGATTTCTTCATAAAGTCATGAAGGAAGCTAATTTCACTTCATTTTAGAATAACTTTATCAAAGTACGAAAGCATCGAAATCAATATGAAAGATGCAAAGCCGCGCAAAAGCTACAATAGCTCAATCTTCCATGTCAAATAATGGTAGATACAATGGACGACAATGCAAATGTGGCCTATGGAGCGTTGCCTGAGAGACTCTACGCCATCGAAGAAGGTAAAGTCGCATACGTGGGCGGATAGGGACCAATGAATTCATCAATGAAAGAAGCACGTGACTGGCTAGAGTCATATCGCAAGAAAAACACATTTAGAAGATGGACAATCTAACCAGCGAGCAAGAACTGTACAGAATGCAAACTTCGTATAAAGACATTTTGACATATTTTGGCCTTGAGGTTGAGACTGTTGTTTCTTTATCCCAAAACATTTTTTAAGCGATTGACAATGCCCTAATGTATGATAATGTACAGATATGGAAAAACATGTTTCAAAAGTGAGATTTTTACAAGGATGCGTCGACAAAGGAACTTTGAAAACATATACACATGCATATTTTTCTCGTAACATACAAAAACTTAAAAATACAAGACAATGTAGGTTTCTATGCTTTTAGTAAATCTAAACGTGGATCATGAATTCAATTGAAATGAATCGACTGTTAGGAGCAACCAAAGTAGAACATGCATATATATTTGAGATCACTGGGGAGTTTTAGTCAAAACAGGCAACCGAGGCAATTGAAATCTATCGCAAATACCAGTTTTTGCATGTCAATACTTGGGCATCATTTAAGGTTAATGGCAAAAGTTTTAAATCGTAGGATAGACATGCAAACCTGCCACTTTTAAATCATTTTATAGACAATAGTGATGGAATTTAGTATGGATAAGTTTAAGGAGCCAGTATTGAAAGACATATAATTGTATTACGTATTGTATACAAAAATGAATCAGAAATAAGTTTGAAAAAAGTAGAAACATTTTTATGAGGTACAGTTAACGCTCTTGAGGGCATTTGCGTGAAAGTTATATACTTAATGTGCAAGAGAGAACCAATAATTTAAATATGCAAATGATGCAATGGTTGGGTACAAGCGCAAGCCAAAAACTAAGTTTCAAACGACTTTCTCTCCCTTACAATTTGTAATAGACCGTATAATTTCACCATTCAACTGTCAAAAAGAACTGCTCAATTTTCTTATTTTATTTGTGAAGACGTTATAGCCTATAATACAAATTTACATTCTGTTGTTAATCGTATTTAACCACGGTTAGATGTCCTACAACAGTCACAAATGACATTTGACGTATATATATATATATGTTTGTAGATGTACATCACCCATGACAATAAAGTCCTAAGAAGGACTGTTCGTGTTGATGTTGACTGACGTTTCGACAACCTTAGCGGTAGTTATCTTCAGAGTTCCCGGGTTCAAACCATTCACTTTAAGACATATATAGTCGAACTTCATTCCAACAGCACTTAGTGAAAGAAAAATTATTTAATGGATAAGAAGAATCTAAACAAATTACTGAATTATACGTCCAAAGCCAAGAATCAATGTTGAATGTCGTGGAATGGTATTGGTAAGGTCAAAAGATCAATGCTACTCCAAAAGCGAACTAGCTTGTGAAGTGGGTAACAGCTAAAGAAATGTCAGTGACTATGTAGAGAGTAAGAACTGTGGAAACTATGGCCCAAAACTAAAATCCCAAGAATGAACAGTGGGAGAGTACCCACATTGCTTGGGAAATTATCACGTGACAGCCTAAAATCCTTCATAGGTATATAGCATGGCTGGAGGAGGCTTACCAAATACTATTTAGTTGGTGGTTTTCATAGATTGACTTTACACTCTCCAACAATTGGCCGTAACGACATGTTTTGAGTGTTTTTTTACTGTATAATTACAATGTTTATTATACATTGAAATATTTACAAATCACCTACAACTCATTTTACATATTTTATTAAAACAGAGATAAAATATTTTGGTGTAAGTAAGTTGTTATTGAGAAAGCATAACGTTATTATGAAGTGGTTTTACCTTATGGTTTCTTGATAGTCCTACACGTAATGGCGGACCTGGATTCTTAATTTTAACACCGCCAAGAAAAAAAGAACCGCTGGTTTTGTTTGTAAACAGTTTAGGTGAAGAAAATGTTGAGATTGTCCCCTCATTTTTCATATGCTTAACGCTCTCTTCAGAAGAATTTATAGGTGATGACTTTTTCTCCTTTGTACCAACGCAAGAAAATGTGAAAATTTTCCCTTCATTTTTCAAATGTTCAAAATTCTCTTTGGAAGAATTTATAGGTGATGACTTTTTCTCCTTTGTACCAACAACAGGGGTGCATTTGTAGTCGGATGACTCTTTTTAAAACAAATGTGTATCAAAAATTTGTTATTATAAGCACTCGCCAAAAGAAAAACTAATAAGAATAACACGAAAGACAAGCTGCAAGCAAATGCAATTACGTATATATCAAACTGTTTTGATATTTTGATTGTATAATCATGCCAACTGCATTTTGGTTATTTCATTATATGCAAATAGGACACTTGAAATTAATGAAAATTTTTATAAATACAAAAATAAAAGCCTACCGGAAAACATATGACTCCCACCAGACATTTTCTTGCCGTTCTTCAGGTTCACAATTTTCTCTTCATTGGAATCACTTTCGACATCATTGTCATGAATCTTGTTTCACTACTCTTATCGCAGGTGTCACGTGCATCGCAGGTGTCGCATCATCATCTTATGTACATGGTACTGCATCTTACATAATAATGATCATGTATTTTCATTTTGAATCACACACTACAATACCATGCAAAAGTCAATTAGAAAGTTCATCACACCATTTAGTACTACATGCAACACATCACTATCTTCATAGGTACATCACTATCTTCATATGTACATCACTATCTTCATCCATACATCACCACCTTCATAAATCCCCACTCCACCTTTATGTATCCCCACCCTACCTTCATACATCCCCACCATCATACATCCTAACCTTCATGCATCCACAACTTGATACATCCTTAACTTTTTAAATACCCACCCTTATACATACACACCTTCATCCATACACACCTTCATCCATACACACCTTCATCCATACACACTTTCATATGTCCGCACTTTTAAACATTCTTAATTTTAAGGCTACCCAGTTATAACTGTGATTGATGGATATATGCTACTATGTGCCTAAATTCAACAATTAAATTCAGACCACTAAGAGTGGTGACTAGTTTTTAAAACTCTGAGAAAATCCTTCTCTGTCCTCATTTAGGACAGTATAACAAAGTTGTCATTTTCAAAACTTGTGCTTTTGACTGATTACTCTGTAAACATTATGAGTTTAAAATTAAGGGCTTTGTGATGGGGAAAAGAGTCTTACTAAAATGTGAATTTGAGGTCAATGTAAGACAGCATTATATAATGCTTAACAATGAAAAACTTTAAAAATTCTAAAATCATTGTTTGAATTGGATTTACTTCATTACTGCGTAGATTAGGGCAGCTTCCCAACCTTTTTTCCTCTTTCATGATGTAATCACTTTTCACAGTTTCATTTATAATTTTACATACCGATACCTTCACTATTTATTTTGATATGACTGCTTTCATTTTGTCCAACATCATTATCCTTTCTGTCATAAGGTGTATTTATTAGTGACATTTCAATTGCTTTTCTATATCTCTTTGGTACAACTTTTCACGAACGGAAGGCCTTACAAAAAAAAATCTCATGACGTTGTTGTATCACACATTGAAGAAATTAGTGTGTACATTGGATTACACAAGGCAAAACAAAGGTTTATAAAGGATTAGAGATCTACTATAATATCTGTGTAAAACAGCATGATGCCCTTAAGCCAAAATTAAAAATCTATTTTTGGGTCACACCTTCTCTCGCCTTTCTTCTCTTTGTTCATTTCCTTCTCTTTATGCTTCGCCTTCTTTGTTTGTGGTTCAAAATCAACTTCAAAATCATCTGAAACATATCATGAAGTCATAAATACAAAAACTTAGCAATTTAAAACAAGAGAAATCTATAGAACATGCAGGCATGACATTGAAAAGGAAGTAAAGTATGGATCCCCGTATATATTTATTGCATATCTACCAAATTAATAATCTCTACTTTTTCACAATAAAACAATGTAAAATGTTTAATAGTGCACTAGATCAATGCAGCCAGTAAATAATTGTGGGGCCTACATTCAGATTTGTTGCATCAGTATTTTTTGAGCAGTGCCTATGTAGGTACATGTAAACTAATATAATATAAAATCTTCCCTTCCCCTACCTATGTAAACCAGAGTGTTTAATCACATACTTTACTGTAAAACAGAGCAATTATAATTTTCATTAATAGCTACGTAGCTACGAGATCACTGTATGTACAATACATTACCATCACTTTCACAATTGGAGCTCATATCAGTATAATTAACATTTTTTCTCCCTTTCCTGCAAGAGATGATGGTGAAAATAAAACATGAGTAAAGCTAAATGCTTGTAGATGCAGATCTTCAAGGTTAGAGCAGTCCTGAAAATGACTGTTGGTGTTGTTAATGATTGACATTTTGACATCCTTTGATCATCAGAGTCAAGTAACACACCAACACCAAGAATTCTTTTCAGGACTACACAAAGCTGGACGATCAACATCTAAAAAATATAACATAATAGGCAATAAAAATTATAAATTCTAATATGAAAATCGTCCCTGCTTTATTAATCGCCATTATTGTCAACCAATAGTAAAACTTGTTTCACCCATATGCCATAGTAGAGATAGTGCAAATTGGAATCAAGTGACAAATTTTAGAATTCTTACCTTTTAGATTTTCGCTTAAAGGTCATCTTTAATGCATATTTACAAAATTAAAAATTATGCTATCAGAGAAAATACTAATGAAGTTAGGATTCAAGTTTAACTTCTCGTGGTTTTAACATGATTTTCATTATGTAGTTGAATAATCTTATAAAGTTTCGCGCCTTGGCGTCATTACACTGGATCATATCATTACACTGGATCATACACTGGAAAAATGCATTTTTGTGTATTTCTTTACTTTTAAACTCATAATAGAGCTTAACAAACAGTGATACATTATTTAAAAAGTATTTTTGTCTTGTTGAAACACTGCTTTAGGCTTTTAAATTATTTAAATCAAAGTTTGCTTTTGCATAAAGACCTTGGCACCTGCAAAAGGGAGTAAGAAATATTTAGGTTTTCGTTGCTAGTAATCGTAAAGAATGTCAATCACAACAAAAATACCACCTTTACAGCTAAAAAATTTACCATACATTGTCAAGAATGTTTTTAATAGAAAAATTTAATTTCCTGCGAAAGATGAACGATTGTCTAAATATTATCTAGAAGTACAGCTCGTATTTAAGCACTTTTACGTAGAATTTCTTTTGTTTTGTCTTTATATAACCAAGGAAGGGAATGGTGCAAGCATGACAGCACAAAAAGGAACGGTATATTTGTAAATTTCCGTGAGATGAAAAGATTTTTGCTTGTAAAGCATGTAAAATTGTAAGCCTGGACTAAAAAAAAATTTATACATAACATAAATTCAATGAGTTCTCCTTTTGGTGAAGTCCCGTGTTTAAATCAGGCCATCGAAACTCCGAAATTTAAATACGCAAAATGACATTTAGAATTTTCTGAATAACTTTTTTGAGATCTATCGGAATAATTAACACCGAAATGTGTTCATGTGTACCTTAAAATACAAATCACGACAGAGCTCAAGAGCTATTACTACTTTTCAGGAAATGTTAGTGATGCATTGAACTATCATAAAGACATGGCGTTTTCAACAAAAGATTCTGATAATGACAAATATGAAGGAAGCTGCGCTGCTTACTGGCAAGGTGCTTGGTGGTATAATAGTTGTTATTATTCCAACCTAAATGGTAAAAATCTTGCTAGGTATGGTTTTAATAACGTGAAAACCAGTGAAATGAAAATCAAACCATGAAGACTTTTCATAAATATTTATAATTTCATGACAATGATCAATATCAATGCCAATACGTCATGTAATATGTCTTAAACATTTACATTCGTTGTTTGCTATGAGAAAATGTGAAAAAATTGTCATTGCTAGAAGTCAAGAAAACTGTAATCATTTCATGAAGTAATAAAAAATATTGTTTCAATCAATGATATTGATGAAATATGAGTTTCTAACATGTTTATCTAAATGAAACTGATGTAATCAAATCATACTCAAAACGACTTCGGCTTTTTGAGTTTGTAATGTGACTGTTTTCGTCTTCTTGGGCATGAAATGATTTTTCACATTATAATGCTTACACAGTTACACGTTTAAAAGCATTTTATTAGTGTTATTGGGGGCATCAGCCATCTTGGGTGAGCCACATTGTTCGATAAGTCCCTGGAGGTTGGTTGCAATTCAAGAATATAACACCCCTAAACACAACCACAATCGCAATATCCACGTCGCATTTAACTGCATTACAAGAGCAATATATGTGGTGATTTAATATCATCTCAAAGAAAAATCTCACGAAAGTTCGAATGACAAAGAGTTGATTGTGTTTGAACGAAGTGGACGCTGAATTCACATGTCTCTGTTTCTATGTATGCTCACTTGAATGTTCTCTTGGAGTCGAAGTTCTCTGCTGTCAACATTAAAGTATGTCACTAGAGCTTTCGAATTTTATGATTTGTGTTTATCGTACATATCCAAATTAACATATATATTACATTTAAAGTAGTTTATGGCGGTTTTTTGTTGAAATCATTCATACTTAATAACCAAGTATTAATCATTGAAGAATTATTCAGATAGCTGCAACTTTAGATATGTTGTCAACTTGACACTGACAAAATATTAGATTGAAGGCTAAGCCTATTGTAAAAATTCAATGCATTGGAAAACGACATATCAACAGTTTTACCAGGACAAGCAGTTCTTCAATGGTGGGAGAATGCAAGTTATACTCATAATATATCTAAAGTTGAAAAATCCTATAATTATAAATGCTGCACGATTGGCTACTGACTAATGTTCTTTACAGTCTGCAGAAACAAATGAGTTCGTCGTGTAGCCAGAAAGCAAGCCTTTCTTGGCTTTATTGGTTTTCGGAAAAAGATTTGCCATACTATATTCAAGACATGTGCATGTGCTGTCAGCCTGTCAGTGCTGATGCTTGTCCTCCCGATGCGCCTTAGCGACAATTGCTAAGATGTTAATGACGTAGGTGCAAATGGTCTATAGAAAGAAACAGTAGTCTCCCTTTACTGTGTAACTTTGTGCTGTATATTTAATTAAATTACTGGCTGCGACTGGCAACCTTAGCGATCCTGTTGGTCAGAAAGTGCAAATTACTGGCTGGCACTGTGCTTATTACATGCGTAATAAGATATGCGCTACACAAAAAATTTGTATAAAGTGGAACTAATGTTTGTTTCAAAACTGCCGTTAGATCAACGCCGTCTGTTAAAATAAAGGCATCTGATCGATGAAGTTAAAGGTACGTTTCTTGAGTAAATTTTACCTCTGACATAGTATGACGGATGTCTTTAAGTCAAAGAACTGTGATGTCAATTAATAATGAATTATTATTAGTTTAGGGCCTGTTCATGTGAGCCGGGCTGGCCGACTTTGCAGGGCCAGTTTATTATTTGATTCGC